TTTTCGCATGCGGAGCTGTCGCGGCGGAAGAGCGCACGGAGCAAACTTTTGCTTTTTGAGCCGATACGTTGAGGGTGACGTTGCATGAGTGCTGGGGCAGACCTAAGAAGGGCATCTAGCTGTTCTCCACTTGTTACATATTGAGCTTGAGTCGTTTTTAGGGGTAATTTCTCTAGTTGCGACCGAAAAAGAGTTTGGAGCAATTTTCCGAAAAGCAAGACGGCCGCCACCGTAATTGCTCTGAATGGGAAATCTGTTTCGCTCGTCGCTGTAAATGGGACTACTGGAACGATGATATTTAGAGGCGAGTGAGATGTTCACTAACTTTGTGCACGAACTGTGCCAAGTTTCATTAAGACAACAGGTGTGAAAGTTATGTTTCTAACGAATAATAAATGTTGTGTTAAAACCGGGCTATGTGAAGTGCAGTTTCGGGGACACACAGGCGCTTGGACTTGACAGTAACATGATACAGCTCTTATATACCAAAAAGAGGTGGCATAGAGAAACCAGGTGGAAATTTGGTTTGGGCGGCGTAACTCAATGGTAACCGGTTTTTACCATGAGAGTGCTGTCAAGAGAATACCACTCGTCGTGGGAGGTGGAGACTTTACAGGTAGGAAGGAACTAGTGGACTACTCCCGAGTGAAACAACTTTACAAAAAATGGTTCTAAAACCGAGAAAACAAAGTTGTCGGCCAACACGCGGTTTGGCCGTCAAAGGCTTTTGCGGTCAGGTGTTGTGTAATAACCTGTTGCGCGAGGTTCCGATTTTCGGCACACAGGTACTTTGACATGATCGTAACTTGACACAACACGTATTATACCAAAAAGAGGTGGCATAGCGAAACCAAGTGGAAATTTAGTTTGGGCGTCGTAACTAAATGGGAACCAGTTTTCGCCGTCAAAGGCTGCCAAGATAATACCACTCATCCTGGAAGGTGCACACTTTACAGGTAGGAAGGTACCAGTGGACGGTACTTTCAGTTCGAACGTTGTCGCTGTCCCACAAAACATCGGCGAGGTGAAAAACTGTGAAACTTTGTCCCCACGAGATACGACGGATAACTATTGAAGTACTTCGCAGCAACGGAAGCACTTCATGCTGTGAACCCAGCGCAACCGCACCGCTCCGACTTCAACGCGTACCAACGTACGTGGCGTGGTTTCGGTTTCGTTTTCTCTGGGGCTCTCACTGCCTACCTTCGGTAACGGCCGCGCGGCGGCGCGCCAGTCGCGTCGCACGGAGTGTATAGGGAACCCCATGGTTTCCCACAGTTAGTACTAACCCCTTTTGAACCGGTTCGACTTTATCCATTTTCCTGTGATGACGTTTTTCGCTTTGATAATGAACTCAGGCCTTCATGAGAACCATCGAATGCAGACAATAAAGATGACGATTCAGCAGTTCGACCACGGGATGATTTGTTACGTGGTGCTGTCGAGAGCAAATTGTTTCTATTGCGTGACGAACGAATGAATCCTCGCTCAATGGTTTTCCCGTCGGGGGGTGGAGTCTGTTGATGTTGTTACAAACAGCCTACGAAGAAGCATTTTTTTCTTTTATCTGAAGGGAGTGGTCTCATCGGGCTGTAAAACTGTGCAGTTGAAAAATTATAAGTTTTTGCATACTGAGCGAGGCTAGAAGAACGGCAATCATGCACCAGAGAAAACGTGAATTTTAAACTCGGTGATTTGATTTGCAGAAAAGTGCGTAGCATATTGGTAATAGATACATTATAAGAAGATTAAACATGTTAGTTGCACTACATTTGGCCCACTCACATTCCGAACGCACTTAAAGCTCATATACCTAGGCTAAGCGTACGGTTAAACAATAATTGCAACAAGACACCCTGGTCGTATAGCTATTCTTTCCGATCATCATTATTTCTAAAGCTTAGTGTTTTTAGGGAATGCCAATAAACCACGAAAGTCAAGGCCCGGGTCGCATTTATCGAAAACGAAAAAAAAATAACAGAAGAAAAAAACGATTGGGAGATGTCCTTGATTCGGAGAATTCCAAGCTTCTGGTAATTACTACCTATGATACTATCTTATGATAACCCAGAAAGTACAGCGCAAACTGAACTGTTTTCAATGCTGCTTCTTCTCCGGAACCTCATCCCTTACCATGTTTCTTTTCCTTATAGTTAACGGGACTAAAGCGCGAAGCACATGTACGACGAAACCGTCCGATCCGACGTCCGATCAGGCAATACGACGGTCTGAGGCGAGGGTTTTAACGCTCTCCGGTGCTACGAAAACCCTCGTCCCCCAAGGTCATTCCGGCAGTCCGCACGTCGGATCAGACGGTTTTGTCGTATATGTGTTTCGCGCTTTATGCGGGTCACGGCACAGGAACATGTTCTCTAATGCTTGGGAAATACCATGCCCGCGTTTAATTTTCTTGAACATACTCCCCGATAAACATCTGTTTTTAGTTTGACGTAAACATTTACACCAAACAACAACGAATACGCTTCTAAAAAAAAGCCAAAATCGTTGTTGTCGCTACGCTAATTCTTGAAGAAATGCCTTAGTATTTGGCGCAAGGGTACCGACCGACTCAGCAAAGAATGAGAATTCCAACTTCGCAAAGGTCCGCATACCGTGGTCTTCGGAGAACCTTGCTGTTACCCTGGGCGTCGGCAGTTTCGGATGCAGTCACAACAGCTTCCTTCCCTCATCTCCGCCTACGGTCCGCACACTGTTGTATTTGAAAGGACAATCTTTCTCCCCGGGTGTCGGCGTTTTCCCGCAAGCGGAGTCGTCACTGTCTGTGCCTTGGGTCATTAATTCGCGTACGTTGTGCCACCTCCACGGCCGCTCGAACCCCTCCTCTCCAACTCCCACGGTGCGCCACGGGAAGCGTGCCAGAAGACTCGTTCCTTCTTGTAAGAACGAAATTGGACGTAACCACCGAACGAACGGAGCAAACGAGCACGGCGGGCACCATGCAACGCGCCGCGGCTTCACAAAACCAGTCCAGTTCACACCACTCCAAATCAGTTCACACCAGTCCAGTCCAGTCCAAACCAATCCACACAAAACTACGATCATCCAAATGAAAGACGGCTGCATGCCCCAGGGCAATAAATGCTAACGCACTTAAAATAGACCACAAAAACACCCGCCATTTCTGGGGACGAAAATGAAAGACGTTTACAATCCCCTGTAACGCCGAATTAGAGCCCAACTCTCGAGGAGGATGACGGGAAGGAACGCAGAGGAGGGTATGCCCCTCCTTCTTTTCTGTACACTCCTCTCCTGCTCCTCTCCCATTTAGAGGGAAATTTTTGCTAAATATTTTGTTAAAGTTAGCGGGAAAATTTCCCCGCTAAATCTAGTGGGAACTTTTTTCCCTAAACTTAGCGGGAAATTTTTTCCGCTGACTTTAACGAGAAATGTTTCCGCTAAAATTAGCCGGAATGTTTTCCTCTAAATTTAGATGAAAATTTTAGAGCGCAGCTCTTAGGCGCCCGTTCCTGGCTTGAGCGGCGTCGGCGTCTCCGTCGGCGGCGCCGTAGCCATCGGCGTAATTCGCGTGGTGCATTATGGGAAACGTCCCATAATGCACCGCGTTGACGCTCGCGTTGAATTATGGGACGCTTCCCACAATGCACCGCGAGGGAGGGAGGAGGGGGAGGAGGAGGAAGGAGGATGGGAGGAGCAAAGGGGAGGATGTAGGATGGGGAGCAGGTGGAGGGAGGAAGAGAGAGGATAAGGAAGAGGGAGGGGGAGGAGCGCAGGAGGAGGCAGGAGGAGGAGGGAGGAAAAGGAGGGAGCGGGAGAGAGGAGGGAGAGAGGAGGAAAAGGGGGAGGAGGCCAAGAGCACGGTAGGAGATGAGGAGGCGGAAGAGGGTACGGATGAGGAGGAGGGGCATAATGTCCCCTCCGTACCCTCCCCTCCTCGTCCTCAAGAGCTGCTCTCCAATTCGGCATTACAGGGAGTTGTAAACGTCTTTCATTTTTTCCGCTCCATATAGCAGGGAAATTTTTTTGCTAAAAGTAGCGGGGAATTTTTCCTGCTATATTAAGGGGGAACATTTTTCCTCTAAATTTCGCGGGGTAAATTTTTTCGATAAATTTAGCAGGGAAATTTACCCGTGATGCAACGTGCGGTGACGTGACGGACCCTCATGACGTCAGACGTGGTTTACGTCACGTGTGACGTCATTATTTTGGAAACATCCCGTAATGCAACGCGCGGTTACACCGACGCCGACGCCGCTTAAGCCGTAAACAGACGCCTAAGAGCTGCGCTCTAATAAATCCCGTAAACACGGAACCCTTAGTCAACTTTCTGAGGCAGGGGAAGCCGCGATCGGGATGGCCGACGATGGTGATTCCTCGAATGTTGGCAAAACAATCTGGAAATTTGTGGTTCCGCTGATTACGTTGCGAGGTGGTAAACTTTAAGTGACCAGTGTTGCCACGTTCATTACAACGACAGACAGCAATGTATATAAAAACCCACATTCGACCAAAAGAAAAAGCCCCAACACGTTTCGGGCCTCGTTTCAGAGCCGAATCTTCTAAGCTGTCGTGATCTGCTCAAACAGCAGACACGCGAGCTGTCTCCCTTTCCTTTCTAGACAACACAGGCCCGCGTCTCAAGGTTGAAAGAACTTGTCGCGCTGAAACAATTGTTGTCGTGTCTGTTTGTTCGCCCTGCCCATTACTGCGCACTCGGACAGCCGACGTGCAAAGACGTACGCATACAGAAAACGGACGTGTTTGAGCACAGATTCTGGGTGGGGGGCTCTGCTCACATTTCTCGTCCGCTGCGTGCCGTAAAAACTACAAGCTGCATTACACATAAAAAAACATAAGCCACCCGAAGGCGAGCGAACACGAGTGGCGTCGAAGAAAATGCCCCATCGGCAGACGCTTCTCCTTACCTAACAGGAAAATGAACTACACAAGATAAACCACTAATTTAACACGTCATTTCAAGCAAAGCGCGTTACGCGCTCCAGCAATCTTTTAATCTTTTCTTACCTGGAAGCCGCCAGTTGGATGGCCATCTGCGCGTAGCCGTCCGGACTCATGTTGCACGACTGGATGAACTTTTTTCCATAGTTAGGAAATTGATAGATGAGCCTCTCAGTGTCGCCGGTATATCTGTAGTGTTGAGTAACATCATTATAAATTATAGCATCCTAAATCCGTAACCGCATTTCAATTGTCCTATCGTTTTCTCTTTCCAAGAAACCCTTTCTGCAAACTGATGCTGATATACAATTTGGCTCTCGTGTATTACAACATAAAGAAGGTCGAATAAGACCCAAGGGACGTAGGAAGTTTAAATACATATTCACATAAAGCAAATTTTCTTCTCTTTGGACCTCACCATATAACTACAAACTTCTTTCGGACTGCCTTATGCTCGTGACAAGTTTGGCTGGAAAAAATGATTTTCCTCAAAATGTTGCGACCGAAAAATCAAAGTTCTACAGGTAGAACTTCCGTCATATTGTTCGGAGTTATGCTACAGAATGTTTAACCTTTCTTAAAGTGTAAAACAAACCGAAAGATCGGCGCCCGCATATATAAAACTCAAACTTTCACGAAATGTGCACTCGGCTGGTGGATTTAACCTTGCCAAAAGTTAAGACATATCTTTTTTAGAAGTTAAAATAGCTAATTTTCCAAAGTGAACCAAAGACGTGTTCTTAGACAACTAAATTAGAGTTGAATATGACTTATGGCGCCACTTCCCGATAGCCACAGGTAGCAGAAAACAAAGTGCGTCATCTGCTCACTGCGCCTATCAAGAGAAGGCGCCACAAGCTATATTAATTTGCCTGTGAAATCACTAAATCAATTTATTTATTTTTGCAAAAAAATAACTATGCCTTGAAGCTTCATAAGGTAAAATCCACTTCATAAATACTGATTTGGTGAAACGAATTCTTCATGTGCAGGCGCCGATTTTTTTTTGTTTTGTTTCACAGCGTAAAAAAAACGGCGCCACACTATATGTCCGTTGGAAGATGTGCAGGATTATACTTACGAAAGTTCGTGTTAATGCCCCAATGTTTTGTTGATATGGGCGATAGCAATAACTAACTCTCTAACTGCCAAAAAGAAATCAAAATGTTGAAAGGGCAATTGTGCCTATAGTAGCGTGACAATCCCAGCGTGTGTTCCTGCATGGTCTGTGGCAGGTCAAAAACAGCACCATTCATGAATAGCATGCATTCAGCATCCTGACCTTCGGTTGACCTTACAGCTTCTCTACTGACCTTGCTTGGGACGATTTCGCCTTCTCTATATCTTCTAAGGTATCGGTTCCAAGAACAAATTCCAGGCTTTGTGGAGCAGCTTCCCCGTTGTCTTCAAATGCTTCAAAGCTTCCCAATTTCTTCCTGCAGTATCCACAACTTTTTTAACAAAAAACGCGTAGCAAATATGCAGATCTGGGCACTGCCATAGTGATCACTGCATACGTGTTTATTTTAAAGAATGTATAAAAAGTAGTGAGCGCTGAACCTGTTCAGCTTTTTTTTTGGAAGAAGAGGCTTGGTTCGTTTATTATATTCTATTATATATTTCTTGATTCAAATGCCTTAAGCAAGCTTTACGTTTTCACAAATTCGTTAAGAGGAGAGCAATTCCGTAAGTAAAAAGAGCTATATGATCTTTAAACATCCTCTGATAGTTTCATTTCTCGCAAGGCTAAAAACAAAACATGAAATGCCGCCAGCAACAATCGCCTTGACTTCCCCTTCCTGCCTTTGTTTTCTCACTAAAAACATAACAGTCCATAGTCATGCTTCCTAGATTTCATAAAAATGTTGGCCGACCAGCTATAGGCAACAACATGAATGTCAAGCCCTTTAAGCGGGCAATAGTACCAGATTGTTTGTTCAAAGGGTAAATATAAGGTCGAGCGGCGGTCGAAGAGACTATAAACAGTTAGTTACGTTACTATGCAGCCAGAGAATAGACATTACTCTGCTAATGTGCATTGCACATTGAGCGCAGGACACCAAAAACTCCCCTAGCGGTGTGGACGGCCAAGGTCTGAGAACGCATGCGCCTCACGCTGTCGTGCGCGCGAGTTAAAGTAACCCCTAGCGCACCGAGACACCGGGTTCACGATTACAGCTAAGACGTCTGTCTTGGTTGGTACTCAGGTACTCTGGTCTTCTCTTTTTATTCAGAGTGGCAAAGAGCACCAATTATTCGCCATTTAAAAGGTGTCGTGCTGTGTACATAGCATTGGAATTATATAGACCAGTGTCTCCTTTTTTTCTCATCGGCGTTACCATGTTAGTTTATGTTAACGACACGGCACACTAGAGGGGTTGCGCATTTTGCACGGCTCAGTTTTTCATGCGAAAGCAATAACTGTCTCATGGAGCGAATACGGCGTTGTCTGTAACCACCTGTAGCAGACAAACGGCACCTACAAGCGGAATTCACATTTCCTGCGACGCGTCATATCAGACGGTTCGTCACGAAAACCGGCCGGGCGCTCAAGGTCAAGGCGGACGCGCCTCAGAAATAAAACAAAAAGAAAAGTACAGCAAAGCAGATGCATCGTCACGGAAGCCATGGAGCCGGCGTGTGCGCCGTGCCTGCGCAGTGGGGGAGTGTGGTGTCACCGCCGGCGTCGTGTGAAGAAGGAAGACGTGACGAGCTGCTTGTAGGAATGCTTTCGCATTCCTACACGTAAGTATTCTAAGTGTTTCTGCCGAATGTTTTTTTAAAACCTTCGCGCATATCATGGTGTAAGAACGTCAGAAATGCATACTCATGACACTCCAAACACAACACCGATGCCAAGAGTGTTGTAGAAAGCAAAAATATTGTTTTATGCGCAGCCCCTCTTTTCACAAGAACCTGCGTTTGAGATTATTAGTTCCCTTTTTTTTCTGCTGGGTGCTCGGATTTTGTACACTGTTCTATAGCGCGAAACCCTCCCCAAGCGGCGGCGGAATGCGGTGCCGAAGAACAAAAGGGCATCGTTGCGTCGTAGCGGTGGGATGCAGACAACGCACTGACACACTGAATTTGCCTATACAGCAGAGACGGCTGTCTACTCAGTTTCGGGCGGTGTCCATGATGACAGATGGTGGCAGCAACCCTAAACAATTCAAAGTAGAAAACCTCGACGCCGCGCGTGTTCAGCCGCTCGAGCTGTGCAAAAGCAGTCGGGGCTAAGGCCACGTTTTCGGTCTTGTGATTACACTATAAGGCGGAGGTGACAGCTTCTAAAGAGAATAGACTACTTCCATAAAGCCCTGCATGCAACACGGCGCGCGTTGCACTCTGGGAACTAGTTGGCCAGGGAGGAGGGTGGCATGGCTTCGGTTTCGATCGACACGTCGACAAGAGATTGTTTTCTGGTTCCGAGAGCGTCATTTGTGGTCTCTAAACTAACCTAAATGGTCATACCTCGAAGCTTTAGCGCAATCCCGAGACGTATAGCTTGTCTTAACGCATGGACGCACCGTGCGCCGGACGGGCATTGGGGTTCATGCCCGTCCGGCGCACGGTGCGACATTCTTCACACAAGTGCTCGAACGAATTCAAAAGCGCATTTGACGGTTGCTAATGGCCATAATATTTGTTATGTGTTTGCTTTCTTACTGCCTGAGTATGCCGAGATAATTTCAGACCAACCGTTCCCGGCACAGATCTCGGGCGTCTGTAAAAACTCGTCCAAAAAGGCTTAGAGAGGAGTAGGGGACGCTTTTTAGGACTTCCGTCGTAGCTAGTCGATCTCAGCGTTTGCGAAAAGTTAATCTTCTATCAGCATAAAATTTAAGTGGGAGATATATGATGACACGAGGAAGAGATCATAGTAACTTTTGTGCAGTAGTGAGGTCGAATTTATTGCGCTTCCTTAAAAGTTCATGCGTAAACGCTGGCCTCAACTTTGATACCCTGTGAGGATGCGGCTTGCTTTTCGCCCAATGAAGTAACAAGAAGCGGACATTTGGCAAACAAAATGCGTGTAAGGCTCCAGACGAACAGATTTCAGTTGTAGTTCACTGGTACTAGACGGGATTACTGACATTGAGCTCAAAGATACACTCGTGGGGTGAGGTGACTAAGCCACGACTTACTACGTTCGCATACGCACGCACAATATCCGGTGTTTCGGGAACCAAGGAAAGTGCCCCGGTCTTCGTTTCGCATCGCTCGAGAGTGAGTGTATTGTACGTTCGTGAAAAGTCAGATAATCGAAAACGCAAGCAGCGCGTTCGGTCGCGGCGTGATAGCATGAGATGAAGCTGCTCAGTCGAAACCGAAACTGAGTGGCCAACTAGTTCCCAGAGTGCACTGCGTGGTATTTCGCCGCGGTGGGGCGCGTCGGTTTTGGAAGAAGTCCATTCTAAGCAGTCTAAAAATTGTGAGCAATTCCACTCTGTCAAGATGATTGGCCAGTGAAGCTGTAGAGCACTACCACAAATGTTTTATCATGAGATACACAAAAGTACTTCACTAAATGTTTATATACTGTATATATACACCATTTTGAAACTATAGTGATGATTGCTTTTTGATCACTACGATATACACTAATGGGTTCCATTACAAATTTGGTGAGATTTTTTCATAAATTTAAATATATATATATATATATATATATATATATATATATATATATATATATATATTTAATACATTGTTTTCCTTATATAGAAGCTCCGGCTTTTATATATTTAAAGCAGTTACGTCACCCGACTCGAGCGGGAGGAGGCCCATTGTTCTCTGATGTATTTACCTTATCGCACGTTTCGACGTTGTTCCCTATCAAAATGCATATCGAGGTGACGGGGCGCATATGAATTGTCATAAAATGGACCCTTGTGCATGCAATTTTGCTTTTTCAGACGGTTCCCGAAAGTGCATGGAACCCTAGTCGTGTAATGCTCCGCTGTAATTGAGGCAGTATCATTGGTTTCATCATTTTGCTGGTTTTGATATGTTTCAGTTGCGGCCACCGGTCACGCGATAAGTGTAGCCCTTGAGCCCATTATATGTTCGTTACTTTTATTTCTTTTCATAAAAAATCAAAGCACAGTCGAAAGATAGAAACAAGCCTACGAAACAAAAATGCAATGTCACGGCGCCTGACTTGCGTTTGGTTGGTTTAGCCGGTCCCAATGTGCACATCGAAAGACGACGGGCGCTAGGACGTAGCGTTTCGACGCCCTTATTAACGTCGTCGGTTTACGATTCAACCAACGTTACTAGAACCATCAATAGGGAAACTCACCGTTGAAACCTAGGCCGCTGGCGTCCACCGAGACCCAGCTTCATACGACAACAGCGGCACTCTTCATTATTAGTCGTTACTGCGGTCACGTTGAGTTTTTAGAAAGCACGTTTTTGCATAAAAACAAACGGAAAAGTCTTTTGTAGTAACTTTCATTTGAATTTAGTACAAAATGAGGGGCGCGTGATGCTTTCTAAAATCTCTAGTTTGCAAGGTTTTGCAGCACAATTATTATTGTTTTCATACAAACGTGCCTCAGTGGCGATTTCAGGTAGCGCGTCCCGACCTAGACGCATCTTAACTTCGGTAGTAATTCGCGGTGCGTCCGCTTGGAAAACTGGGTAGTACCCCTGAATTTCTTTTCACCGTATCTTTTTCGGCGCCAAAATGGCCGATTAAAGCCAAAATAGAAGTCACGTGCAGTTCCTCGAGTGGCCGCTGCGAGAAAACTAGCGGCGTTGTGATCGCCATTATCTCGGTTCGCGAGAATGGATCGGTGCCACTTTTTTAGAGCAGTCTCTTTGGCTGTTTCCCATCTGAGTGGTTCTAGTAACGTTAGATTCAACTAAGAAAACAGGCCTTTCCAGCGCTCAACACCTGCGCGAAAACGCTAAGTCACTGAGCTGTCCAAGCATGCCCAGCGTCTGATATACTGCACAACGAAGCAACAGCGAATGTTCAGAATGCTTTCCACAGCTCAGCGGACGGCGGCGCAGAGGAGGCGATTGTTTGGGAAGGTCTATTTTCGGTTTCACCTTTAGGCCAAGTTCAGCCCATTCTACTGAAAAAAAATGGGGCCAGTAATGCAAGTTCAAACCACACCGTCCCCGCCGCCGTAAATCTCGTGTACGCGTACCGTGGTAAAAAAAACAAATCAAGCGCAGTTAGCGCTCCGCCACATTGCGGTCTCAGTATATGCTCCTTTAAACAAACGCCAGATTACACCCGCCATTGCTGGCCTTCTCTTGTCTCACCGAGATACTGCGACACCGGGCGCCGCCATAACAAACCTTTAGTTTTCGTTTCCTGTTGTTTTGATAACATTGCTTCATCATTACAGAGCAGGACAGGTTATTGCCATTTCAGATTCGACCGTATTCTTGTACCCAGCATTGGCATTTGTGGAAGCTCTCAAATTCCGCATCAGTGGCTTGGCATCTCGGTAAGACAAGAGATGGTCAGCGATGGCGGCTGTAATCTGGCACGTGTTCAAAGGGTCTCTATTCACACGTCCTCCTTGTTTGCCCATCCTTTCTTGCTTCGGACACTAGGCTAAGCGGCGCCACCAAAGTAATAGCTTATGTTTGAACAATGCAAGCGTCACTTCCAGGCATACCATATGTTTCTTGCAGACATGTACAAATTACTCAAAAAAGGTAGTCAAGTTAAGCTACTGAGTATCGAAGCCGAAAGTAATTGGAGTAGAGTAGAAATTACGCATTTGTAATAGTAATTGAGTAAACTACTATCTACTGGAGAAAATAGCGAGTTACTTTGAAGTTACTTTCGAAATTACTTTTTATATATTTTTGTGGTAGTTAAATGAACAGCAGTTTTGATCCGTGATAAACCCTGCCAACCTGAAATAAACGCAGTCATTTTAGGGCTTACGTTTTCACGAAAATAGTTCATTCGCTCGCAGAAGCAATTGACTTTCAAAGTTCTTGAGAGGAAAATTTTTCACTTTTCCTCCCAAAGACGTCCCCAGCCAAGCTAAAAAGGCGTTCCACCGACGCGCTGGACGGAATGGCCGCGTTGAATTTGACAAGCAGCCTGTGCAGGGTCGGTTAAGCGAGTGTCTGCATCTTAGGTGTCCATGACGAAACATGTGAGGTTTGCCTCGGGTATTGGGTCTTTTATAACAAACTCTCCTCCCTTTTTTTTTTTTTTGGCAAGTTGGGATTGTTATGACTGGCCGCTCTTTATTCCTTCGACGTTCTGAGAGTACGCTGAAAGAGTGCACCTGACCGTCAGGGATTCAAGTCTGGCGCCACGACGATGAGATCATCCGGACGACTGCGTGTCTCGTTGCAATGTTAGTGTTACGCTACTAAAAAAAAAAAAAAAAGTTGTTTTGGTTTAACAGAAGATGAACCGAAGTATGCTTCGCGGCTGACGTCGGGTCCAACAAAAGGATCTCCCAAGGTCAACTCACAGTCCTCGCCGGCGACTATGGTATCCTGACGCGCTTGACACGCCCGACAAGTAAATCGTTTTCAGCAAAGAGGAGGTCTCCCTGGCATGGAAGGTCGGAAGAACGCGAAGGATTACGAGAACAAGCATGGTCGCTCGTATACAGTTGCAGCTGGAAGCGGGAACGTGCTCCCATGAACGGATTATCCGTGTCTGGGTTTGTGCGCGGGGGAGTCCGGCTTTGCAGAGGCGTATGCAGTGACGACGAGGCGACCATGAGAACAGGCGCCCAGCTGCGAGGTCATTCCAGTGAGGCCTCCCATGGAACCCCCAAACCGCTTGAGGCAGAACTCACTAAAAGCAGACAACATTAAAACAACAACAACAACCCTCGGAGTGTGCGCGTCTTTCATGGTTGCAGCTGGAGGCGCGGCACCTGCGTGCATTACCGGATCAATACCCGTCCAGGGCTTGTTAAGCATCTCTTTCTGCGTTCCTGCGCGCCGATGTTATGTTTTGGCTGCTCGTCGTCACCTTGGCCCAACGACGCCTGTGATGCAGTTTCTACGGCTGCTGAGTATAAGTGCGTGGGAACGGAATGTCAGGGGGCCCCTTGTTCGGTAATACCAGCTCATCCGCTGGCGTCTTATTTATTTCTGCGCTCAAACTTTCGCGATGAGCAAAATTAGCACTAGATTTCAAAAGTAGTTAGTAATTTGAGTAGAAGTTACCTGAAAACAATAGTTAAATTAAACTACTAATTACCCAAATCAAGTTGTAATTGAAAGTGACCAAGTTACTCGGAAAAGTAATTAAACTACAGAAGTTTGAGTAGAGTAGTTGAAATACCTCCAAGTCTGGTTTCTTGCTTCAGCCGCTAGATTCCGCGAAACCAAACAGCGTTGCAGGTATAGTAACATAGCAGAATATGGTAACATTTGTTTCCAGAAATTACGACACGCTTGGTAAGAGTGCGTAGTTACTCCATCGACGGAAAACTCGAATTAATTATACAATATTTTATTAAAAGGATGGCTTTAGATTAGGCGCGATTTGTTACGACGAAAGGTCTTCCATGAATGTTAAAAAAACACTCAATTTCCGCTTAATTCAAACTTACGCGTAATCGTAGCAGTGATTCGTGACTCCAGTCATGACGGTGCCGTCGAAGGCTGTGTGATCGTACAGAAGTGCCGACCCTCCGTCTTCCCCGACGATCACCTGGATCGAGCAATGAAAAAAACTATTGCTGAGCTTTCTTTCACGGAGCAAGGTGTTCCTACGCGACGTGAGTTGCATTGACTACAGAGACTTTCCTAAATTTATTCTGGCCAGTTCGATAAAAGTCATCTAATACCCTGGTTACACGAGGGCTCTTAACTGTGATTAAGCCAGCGACACTTAAATCAAACGCGATCAGTCGGAGTTACACGACGGAGCCAACTGTCATTAAGCCGCTAACGACAGTTGGGTTCGACTGAGCTGGCGTACCTCAGTTAACTGATGAGATGGCAGCGTTTGCCGTATTGCCGCCAATGGCCAGAGCCAGCGAAGCACTTGCTGTTGCGAAAGATTCCAAAAAGTAGCTAGAAAACTTCGTAAAAAAAAAAACATTTATTTTAGAAAGCGGTGTGATTCGGGGCCAGAGCTGCCGCTCAAACGACCACGGTACGTCTCGGAAGCCCACGTTCGCCGAGCGCAACCATTGTGGTGTCGGTGCTGATAAGACTTTCCTTATGTCTCTCTTGCTTAAATTAGTGTGAAAACTTCTCATTCACGTTTCGTTACTCTAAACACAGGAACATAATTGTTTTTATTCGTTTTAAACGATTGTAAGGAATAAAGTGTGTGCAAATAATTCATTTGCGTCACTTTTTAAAGTAATATAAAAATATATGTACTAATTCTTTAATATCTGTGCCCACAAACAACTTTTCAGTCTCCACAGTTGTGCACAAAATACTAAAATACAAATACCGCAAAAACTAAAATATTCAATACAAATACCACAAAAAAAAATCTCATTCTAGGCGAAAGACATCCGTTCACGAACAAGCAAGGTAAATTCCCGAAGACAGACCAGAAAATCCAGGTGATGTTCCTTATTCAAGGCCCATTGAATCCCTGAAAAAGGGGATACAGGGGACAAGCGAGATAGATAAAACGTTGATACATTCCGGCTGGCTCTTGATGGAACATGGAAGTCACTGGATCGTAGTAAATCCCTTGACCAGACGTGACCATGAACAAGTTTATGAAGAAAAACAAAATCTGTAGACTGCCTCCTCACGGCAGGTTTATATAATGCAAACCGGGGAAGTAACGTTTCATAATGATAAAAAGACCTCCTTATATTATAGTGGTCATACACAATTCTTATCAGCCGCTTTTGTACTTTTTTGATTTCAGTTGCCTGACCAAGAGATAATGAATTTCAGATTACCGAGCCAAATTCTAACGTGATCTAACTAGTGGCTTAAACAAATGCAACAAACAAGAGAGTGATGAGAACCGCCGACACAACCGAGAAATAATGCCTAACACTCTTAACGCAGCATTAACAGTTATAGACACATGTTCTTTGAAAAAAACTGATCTGTCACTACGGACACCAAGATCCCTTACAAGATACCCGGGGTATCAAGGCGCTTTCAAGGTTGTAAGAAAAAGAAATGAATTCACGCTTTTTGGATAGTACAATATATTTAGTTTTCTCAGGATTTAACGACAAGTGGTTTTTGAACCAGCAATTTCAAACATGTCCTATGTCAGCTTGGAGACGAGTGCAATCTAATACTGACCTCACACTTAAAAATCGTTTGACATCATCGGCAAAGAGAAGAATTTTCGCGTCACCAACACAGGAAACAATATCATTTATAAACAAAATAAACAAAAGCGGTCCCAGGATGGACCCCTGGCGCACCCCGGATTTAGAAACAAACTCGTCGTAGTAGCATTGTTCAAGACGAACAGTGTTTCGACGACCTTTTATATAACTAGAAAACCATGCGCATAGATGGGGGCTAAAACCATGCAGAACGAGTTTCTGTAGAAGTAAATTATGACTAACACGGACGAACGCTTTCGACATGTCAAAATAAATTGCATCCACCTGTCCCCTACTGGACACAATTGGCGCTGAGAAGTTTAAAAATGAGCATAAGTTAGATTCTACCGATCTCCCCCTTGAAAATCCGTGTTGAGCTTCAGTTATCATCGGGCTCAGATAAAAGTAAAGACGCTTATGGACTACTTTTTCAAATACTTTTGCAAATCCACATAGCAGTGACACCGTCCGGTATTTGTTAACCAATGTAGAATCACTGGATTTAAAAATAGGCACAACTGCAGAGAATTTCCAAAGTTCGGGGAAATAACCCTGTGCAAGCGACAAGTTGAAAATATGCATTAAAACTGGAGCAAATATAGAACAACACCCTTTTATAACAAAACTGGGTATGCCATCAATGCCGGTTGATAGTTTGGGTTTCAGTTCCTTTTGTAGCTTCTAAAATCTCTTCAATGCAAACAGTAAATGTTGACAAATAAGGTAATTTGACATCCGTTTTGGTTATGTTTCGGTTTCAACTGGGATCAACAGTTGGGGTTGTTAGGCCTATGTAGCGTGTAACGCCGGACAAATTAATCGAGCTCAATGAGATTTGGAAGATGCCAACGATTGTTGGCTTAATGATCGTTGAGAGTGCTCGTGCAACAGGGGTATAAGTGTGTATAATATGTATACGCTAATGGCGGCCTTTAGGTGGCTGGTGAAAGAAAAATTTGAAGACAGGCACCGTGCGGAGCTTCAGCATTCTAGACGTTAATAGACCAATCTTACTAAGCGTTCCACGCATGCGGGACGCCACCATAACTGTAGTTATCTTGTTCACAGGAGGCAGGCGATAGTGCATGAGACAGACCGTGCCTTCTCGAACTCTTCACGCGCTATTGGCGCGGCCTGTGTTATGTCGACATTTTGTTTTCGACGATTTCTTCGCATTTTGCCTGTGACCGTGTGCTGTCGGCATCGGGTACTACCATAGCCTCCTCTGTACTCACTCAGTATAGTGGAAGCTATGGTAGTAGCTTCCACTGTACTGAGTAAGTATAGTGGAGTCACTAAAGTCACTGGATCACTGGATCACTGGATCCTGGGAAAGTAGCGCCAAGCTCCCAGTGTGGTCCCCGTTTTGGTCCGTGAAATGAGCAATTTTTTCTTGACCTCTCCTTTCTTGGTGAGCCTATCTAAATTCGCTGATGACGAGTAGCTTTATGAATACGTTTCGTGTATACCGAAATTATGCTAACCACACACCGGCGAAAGAAGAGTATATCTTCGTACCACCCCCACATGCTGTGTCTGTGCTTGGAGGTACTGAAAAAGAAGTTTACTGTTTTAAGATACGCAAGAAAAAACAATCTAAATCTAAGAGATCCGTGAAGATGGGCATGATTCATAAGTTGATTGCATACACAGTGCCAAAGATGCGTTTATTGACGAGCAACGCCTCCAGTACGATGATGCTCCAAGGTGATCTTGGCACGACTGGTTTAGAACGACCCTCTGGAAGCTTCGAACATTTGAATGGACCGAAATGGCGATTTCCATGGCAACGTAGAAAGATTAGCCAATCGCCTTGCCATGTTTTGGTCGTCTGTCTGTTAGTATATCTTTGTTTCCGGCTAGCAAGCATGGAAGGCAATGGCGCTACATTCCCGCAATCTAGTGACTTTAGGTAAAACAAAGGATGACAACCGCCTAAACAGTAGGACAATGAAGCACCCTAGTTTTACTCATCTAATTGCCTAGTATAGCGCAGTTTTTTCTTGACATCATCTAAACTAAAACGAATCGAAAAATACCTGTACAGCGATGAACACCGTAACATTACGACATGATCAATATGTGCTACATTTTCCTCGCCATTGGCATACAGGAATTGAGATTGATATATCAGCCACTAGATCGCACGCTTTGCTGCACAATTAAGTTGGGTGACGAGGTGGTGCTACTTGAGGACTCGTACAAATACTTGGGTGTCATCCTTGCCAATATGTCGGAATACCTTCGAGATCATTACGCTCATCTTCACCAGTCAGCAGGGCGAGGGGCAAACGTCCTCCGAAAAAGAAGTCTCTGGAGCTGCAATAGGTTCCTACTTACACGGGAAGTGTGGAAGGCAGTAATGGTTCCAGGCTTGACTTTCGCGAATGCTGTAGTGTGCGTCCCTGGTGAATTACGAGAATTTCTGGAGCGACGACAACGAGCAGTGGGACGACAGGCTCTTGCCTGCCACGGAAATGTGGCTAACGAAGCCGTCCAGGGAGACCTAGGATGGTCTAGCTTCGAAGCCAGGGAAGCCACCAGCAAGATAAGTTATGATACACGACTCCGCCACATGGATCGAAACCGATGGGCCAAAAAACTTTTTGTACACACTCACATGACTGGGACAAGAACAAGGTGGCAGAAGCGCCTTTATTAACTCCAAAAAAAGTATGGCTTCTTTGCAGAACCCTTAGAGGTAGTGACGTGCGTGATGTTGGAGTCGAAAGTGAGAAGCAGAGTACGTGAGAGGGAGGTCTTCCAGTGGTTTGAAGCCGCTCAAGCGAAGCCAACGCTGCTGGTGTACAGTAAAAACAAGCAACTGATAGCGGCTGAAACCTTGCTCTATGACAACAGCTTAGGCAGCCGCCTTCTCTTCGAGGCGCGAGCGGGCGCTCTACGAACTCTGGTATACCGGGAGCGGTTTGACCCCAAGGTGGTTTCCACGATGTGCCGCGCGTGCAGAGAAGAACCTGAGACAGTTGAACACCTAGTGCTCTACTGTGAGTGCCTGCTGCCAACCCCACTGGTAGATCGCCTTCTTCACTCAGAGGCGATGCTAGCATAGGCACTGGGCTTTAAAACGACGACTGACTCAGACAACCCATACACGGGCGAAGCAGACGACCCTCCATAAGACAGGCATGACATTTCTACCATGCAGAGCGTGCGGAGGACGAAAGCGCGTCTGGAACACTGGTGGAAGAAAATTTAGAACAGATAGCTTATAGTTTTTTTGTTTTTTTTTGGCTAGGGCGCGAAGACTCTTCGAGCTCACCCGGTATAAAGGGAAAAGCCGCATCATCATCATCATCATCATCATCAGTCTATTACAAATATGAATATAAAACTAGAAGCAATAAGACGGTGTAGCGTGCCTTCTTGGATAAAGAGAGCTGGACAAAAGAAGAAGAAGCGCGATCACGACTCCACGGAGTTCGGGTTACGCGCTTCTACCGCGAGATTAGTTATAGAAGCAGTAGTCGATTATTTTTTATCTTACCGTTCGGTCACTCAGTTATGGTGTATTCCCGCGGGATTTTTCTTCGGAGAAACCCGTATACGTCATAGAGCTGCAAGAAGGAAACCGACACGAGACGGAGGAGGCCGTGTAGAAACTGCAAGCGAGAGTTCGCACGACGGAGTCGCGTGTAGTTCAATCGCCGGAGTCTTTTTCTTGTTGCAAACCTGCTGGCGACTTTTGGGGACTCATCGAACAAGAGGCAGGGAAAAAATAATGAAAGAAACACTTCAAAGATGTTCATAATAATCTTTCCTCAAAAGCAGGGGGACAAAGAAGGGGGCCCGATCGCTCCGCAGAACGAGAGATATTCTGTCAGCAGGTCACAGATTCTCCTCGGCTGCCAGCGATCGCGGGGAATTAGTGAACATCCGTGGCGCGAAGCACGTGATTTCAAACCTCGATGACGTTCAATCTTCTTCTGGAAGAGAAACTGCGTCGTGCGAATACTCCATTATTTTTCTCTATAAATGGGTAACACGGACGTGATTTCACTGGTCAACCGAAGAAACATTCGCAAGATTCTTTACCATAGCTCTCGGAGGCACTGCTGCAACGATAGTGACAGCCTTCACACTTCGAACAACACAATGTTGGCAGCATGCCTCCAAGTATGGTTCGCAGAGGCCGAATTACAGTTTATCACAGCTCGGATCACCAGTCAAGCCGCAAACTTTAATCACGTCGTAGCCTCTCTTTCTCCTGAGGTGGCAATGGAGATTCGACACTAGATTCTCTCACCGCCGGAAGAACAGCCGTACGACAAACCTCACTCAGAGCTGGTGAAAGTGACGTCCACGTCAGAACAAACACGACTCCAGCAAACCATATCATATCAAGAGGTCAAGGACCGAAGGCATTCCCATCTTCTTCGGTGACTACAGCAGCTCGTGGGAGACGGGTTGCCCGCATTTGACATATCCTTGCTTCGGGAGCTCTTTCTGCAACGACTACCAGCAAACGTGCAGTGCATATGGTGCTCGTGTCTACCCTATGACGAGCCTCGACGACCCAGTTCAGCTGGCAGACAAAATCGTGAAAGTTGCAGTTCCCGCCATACCGTCAATTGTACCGATTTCTGAACAAACAGAGGCAAGGCAAAAATCACAAGACGCAGTGAACGAGTACCCGATGTCCTGCGCAATTACGGAGCTTCGGCAGCAAGTATCTGAACTCACCAGTACAGGTATCAGCCCCTATTTTTTTAAGTTCCATCACCTCACCGAAACCGCTCACCATCAGGCTACGGCACTCTCTACATCCCCAAGGATGGACAGAGCACCATGGCAACGAAGGCTTCTGTTTGTGCTGCTGAAACTTTGGTGATAACGCCCGTCACTGGAAGCAACCTTGTTCGTCATGGGGAGCGAACTTGCCCACCAGTAGAGGCAACCCGTGGTGCCTACCCACCGACGCAGTCGCCGGTGTTTCGTCATCGGTCGTAATACGGGACTATTTTTCCTCATCGACATGGGGGCTGACGTTAATGTCCTACCAATTTCATTCGACTCTTATAGTAGAACAAAGTCGAATTTTATTTCACGAATACTAATAAATCATCAATTGCAAGCTATGAACCGTGATCCTTGACTCTCGACAGCGAACTGCGAAGAGCATTTCGATGGATATTTCCACTGGCACATGTTTTATATCCCATCTACTGAGCTGACTTTCTTCGAGGCTTCAACCTCCTCGGAGATATGAGGCTTCGACCTCCTCGACTCCGCCACTAACATAACTGTGAGCGCAATTATCTGCCAACACCAACCTCCTTAAGGGATACACGTACCTAAAATCACCAAACAACGTGAGCACACCTGCTAAGAACAAAGCAGAAAAGCTTGTCGTCACTAAAGCGCCACCACTGTATGCTCGTCTTAAGCGCTTGCCTACAGCGCAGCTTAAAATTACTAAAGACGAATTCGCGCATATGTTAGCGGAGTTATTCAACCCTCAAGCAGCAACTGGGCATCTCTACTACATATGATACCCAAAAAAAAAAAACCGGCGACTGGCTACCATGTGGAGATTACCGCGCGTTTAACAATGCAACTATGCCTGGCAGGTACCCACTGCAAAGTGCGGATAATTTTACTGGCTCACTGCATGAATCCACTATCTTTTCGAATGTGGACTTAGTAAAGGCGTATAAGCAGATTCCAGTGGCACCACAAAACATTCCAAAAAGAACTATCGCGGCACCATTTGGTCTTTTCCGTTTGGTTTAGAAAATGCTGCACAAAAGTTCCAGCGTTTCAATGACACCATCGTCCGCGGCCTCCCCTTTTTTTTTCGCGTACCTTGAGGACATTTTAGTTTTCGGCGCAAGTGAACAAGAGCGTGAACAAGACCTTCGCAAGCTTTTTTATTACCTGGTCAACAACGGCATCATCTTGAAAATAAACAAGTGTGCTTTCGTCGTCCGCGAATTAGACTTTTTCGGCCATTATGCTCATTATCAAAGAATGCTACCCTTGCCTCTAGAAACTTTGGTAATTTCTCGGATTACTTAACTTTTACCGGCGATTTATTCCCAAGTGCGCCCAAACCCGTCGTCCACTGACTGCTTTATGCAAGGCAGCACGAGACTCCACACCCTTGGTCTGGACAGGCCCCACGTCTCATGCTTTCAGAGAAATCAAAGACCTTACTTTGGTCACAATCCTTATACACCCTTGCCATAATGCTCCAGTAAACATCATGATTGATGCATCAAGTGAGGGCACAAGAGCTGTTTTCAACAGTATGTGAATTACAGCTCGCAATCCTTGTCATCTTTTTCGAGAAAGTTGTTACCTTGCTAGAGGAAAGAGGAAATACAGTGAGTTTCCGAAAAACAAGAACCGGGTTTTTCGGCTCCGGTATCGCAGAAAGCTCAAACTCCGTTGGCGGTTGGCATATAACGCGAATCGGGCAAAAAACTGTTAGCGATTTCCCTCGCCACAAAACATTCTCGTCATTTCATAAAAGGTCACCAGTTCTAAGTAAATACTGACCGCAAACCTTTTATACATTTGTTTGAACATTCGCAAAAAATAATCACTCTCCTTGCTGAATTCGTCATCTGGCTTTCACGATACAGCAGGACAAAAGAAGAAGCGAGTGACCCAAGCTCCGCGGACCTGTGTTCGCGCTCCTTATTTTGTCTTGCTCTATTTATTCCTGGAGGCACGCTACATCAAAGGTATTTCCCTAAGTTCACAACGATCTTAAAGTCTCAGCAGGACAGTAGGGCACGGTTATAAGTAAGTTCCTTGTTTTCCGCGTTTTTTTTTGTTTTTTTTCGTATTCGAGGGCGTTTTTTTTTTTTTCTTTTTGTAATCATTATTTTTTTGGTGTTTAATTTAAGTGCATGGCAAGTGACAGGAGTGGACCTGGAATCATAGAAAACAACTGCAGATCTCTACATTTGTGCCACCAAATCACCCCCCCCCCCCCCCCCCCCCGGTGTCCTGTTGTATTCCGGTTCATTAAACTTACGCCCGTGACCCAAATACTTGAAGAACGTCATCTTGATGCCGAGAACAGAAGTCATTGGGCGTGGTTCCCAAAGAAACCAGCAACCTCAAGGACAGTTAATAAGGGTTGTGTACAGGTTCGCAAAAATAGGTCGTAGGTAATAAAAAAAAAAAAAAAAAAAACTTTTATCTGCAGCATTCTCTGCTGCATTATTTTCGGGAAGTTGTCGTATTTACTGTGTAGCAAATTTATAAAAGTATGTACGCACCTTAACTGGAAAATTATTTTTTATAGACAACGTTAAGGTTTTTATACCTTTCCCTAAGTGTCAAGCGTTAAATAATTAACCGATAATTCACGATACGCTTCTAAACACTATATGTTATGCGCTGCACATTTGAGACATTTAAAGTGTTTCGTTCTCTGCTTGGAATGTGACTACAGCAATGGCTCTTCCGTTCTGCCAAGGGCTAAGCAATAAAATAACTATCCAGGGAATAGAGAACCGTAAAGGGCGGTTGAAGCAAACAGTTTTCTTGAGTAACGACTGTCGTCCAAAGATAGGCTCATGTCCGTACTATCGTGGACACCTCTGGCTAAAATATCGGCAGGAGCTTTGGCGTCGGCTGCTTCGCACGTAGCATACGGCCAAGTGGGGGTGTGGTCGCCTACTGGAGGGGCATGGTCGCCGCCCTGCCCATGCACGGCGCACTCCCAGTCCCGCGCATGCGCGGCGCAGGAAATAGCGAACGGCCATCGGTTGCGTGCTATTACCAGTTGTGTCAACTTTAGTGCTTGGTGCCGATGAATTTTACCAAGCATTGCTGCGCACAACCGGCATTTATTCTAGAAGGTGTGTGTACAGATAACAACTCGTCGTGTTGCTTACCTGAACTGGCTTGTCCCACCATCGATTGGCTGCATGTTCGGCGTTCGGGCCACCCCTGCATACCTGCCGGGGCCAGGCCACTTCGTAGGGCTCCGCGTCTGCCACCCCGCCGTCTAAGCACACCACGAGGGCAGCCCGGTTGATCGCTTCCAGAGACTTCGCGTTCTGAGCGTCTGCGCCCAAATGACCGGAAGAATGAACGTGTCAATCTGTGTTGGACGTTTTGGGTTCCGCTTTGCGATTTGTCGGGTCTATCCCGTTTTGAAATGAGAAGTCTACCATGTTATTCTGCACCGTCAGGTGTTTCAATCGTAAGGAGCGCTGCACTCTCATCGCGTTGGGTTGTTTTTCAGTGTATAGAGAGCAGGGCGGCGTCACAGCAAACAGCTTTTAAAGGTGCCCTGCAACGATTTCCGCTTGGAATGTGTATCACTATACTGGAGCTTGCTGGCATCAGTGGTAACCAAGTACACTGGCACGCAACAACACAGATTACTTCTTTCTCGCGCTATAATTTTAAGGAGAAATCAAATATTTACTAGGGAAATACAGGACACTCCCTCAGAACACATCGAAAAGGTCGATAACCAATATCTGCAGAAACACGCGTGACGGGGGCAGCGGTGCCGTCTTGGATTCCGCGACCACGACAACCGCACCGCGTTCCGAGGCGTCGCCTTCACCTACTCTGGTGGCGAAAGAGGAATGGTAAGGGAGAGAGGTGTTGCCAAATAAACCACTCCACCGGGGGTGCTTTATGGCGCGGCAGTCGCTCTATCTAACGCCATTGAGGAGAGTGTCGTGTATCCCCGTACTAAAGTATTTGGAGAAAAAGCGACTGTTTACTTTCAATCTCTCCTGCGCAAAACTTAATGACGCAGCTGGAGGGTCGCAGTACCACCCAGCGCCGATATTTGAATGCGCCTCAAAAATGAAACCCGAGCGTTTTTTGAGCACTGTGAGCACCAGGCTTTGTGAGTATAGGGGAGGCTATGGTGTTGCCCAGCGTGTTCCAATCTTAAAGGCGAAGCTTAAACGTCCTTCAAGTTTTTCCCCCGATTTTTTTGCTGCGAAAACCATTCCAGAGAGAAAAAACAATATCGTATCTTTGATACGCCATAAATGTAAAGGAAAAACTCCAATATATTTATCGAAACTATAAAAACTTTTGCATCGCCTCTTTAAGTTCAAGGTGACCCTACGCTACCATCTTAATAAATAAATACTGTATGCTTTTTTTTCACAAATCTTTTTTTTTTCAAAAATACCCTAAAAGCAGCATCAATGTGGTTTTCTAGAGTAGGTCATCCGGGCAGGTGGGAATTAGAAAGGCGAATAATCGTCACGATAAGTGAGATAAGTTATTAAAATTGTTAACTAACTTCTTTTATTCGGTAATGGGTCATGTTGCGATTACCGTGTTAGTGGCAAGGACCATTAGGGGCGGGATTCATTTAAAGATTTTAAGAAAATACACAGGATTTTGAGGTATATATCGATCTGTTTTTGCGTTTTTTCGCCAAAACCAAGACAAAAGGAATGTACCGCGAATTTCCCTGCAATTGCTCTTCTACGTGAAATGTTCATGATTTAGCGCTAGCAACCTCCACGCATTTCTTCTTGGCTGTGCGTCCATATCTCTCCACTCCACTCCACACCATTGACTCATTGACCCATTCACTTGCCCCGTCGGGTCGTCCCGTGTCCACAGAGGATGACAAATGACAGGCTGCGGCTGGTCACGTGTCAGTTTTCCCGCTAAACTTGGAGGTAAAACTGAATTTGCGCGTAAGTCACGTGACATCATTTTAACCGCTAAATTTAGCGGAAAAATTAAGCAGTTGCTAAAGTCCATCGTTTAAATTGATTTTGTTCCGATAGTGACTGAGTTTAAAACCGCCTGGGCGACATAACCCGTCCAATCATAAATTAATAAGTTGATACACAAAAAATGTTGCTATTATTAAGACGAAAGCCTTATAAGTCTCATCGATCAGTCAACTTTCAAAGTTCTTTAGCGAAAACACGTCAGCGACACGAAAGATACCGAAACCTTTACGTGACCACCGAGGCGATTCGGAGGCGATGCAATTAAAAAGGATGACAAAGCGAATTAAGAGGAATGAAAGTGAATTAAGAGGAATAGAATCAATGACCATTACAGGAATTAAAGTGAATTAGAAGGAATTAAAAAGAAGTAAGAGTAATCAAAGCTAATTAAGAAGGACGACAAAGCTAATTAAGATTAATTAAAGTGAATTAAGAGGAATTACTGCGAATTCAAAGAAATTAAAGTGAATTAAGTAGATGATTAAGCGAATAAAGTGAATGACTAAGCAAATTAAGATGATTACTCAGCACATTGAGAGGGATGACTCAGCACATTGAGAGGGGTGTATGTCTTTAATGCATCGGCACTTGGGCTTTCGCCTTCAAGTTGTTTTGGGGTAACATAAGAAACACCGTGAATTTTTGTTGTGTTCTTGCTTGTGTAGCTGGGTTGTGTTTGCAACATATGCAAAAATTATCATCGCCACCAAATGGTCTGTACTTCATTTTGTCTTTGTTGATGAACATACAGTCTGATTTGGAACGTTGACTGGACTGGTCCTCTCCTTTTTCTCTGCCGTGTCCCTGACGACACCACATTTTTTGGCGACGAGGATGAGATGAATAACTTCCATCTAATTTTTCCCTGACCTCACAGGTAACATATAAATACCCTGTTAGTGTGGCCTTCATGCACCGTCTTAGAAGCATTTTTAAATAATAAACTTTGTTTTTGGTATCTATACGCACAGAAAACTTAAGCTCGCATCGATCATTTTGACAAACGCGATGAGCACGAAATGTGTCGTGCGCGCGTATTATGCGTGCGGTATGATTTCTAACGGTCGGTTTCAGGGTGCTTTGGGTGGCTTCGGATGCGTTGCACAGAATGTACAATCATGCGCTCTTCCGAGGTTATCAGCCCGATCGAGACAATTGAAATTTATCCCGAAGGGTGTGTGGGAGAGTGAGCTTAAGTGAGACGGTTCCAAGTGTTCTGCTGCTTCCGAGGGTGAGTCTAGTGCCTTACGTTGTTGGCAGCGTCGGCGGTAACACCCTACAAGTAACGGCCTTACAGGTAACGCGTTATTTTTATTCAGTTATGTGCTAACGTATTCGTCCCTTCTTCAAAACATATAGCGCACTTACGTTACATATTTTGAAAAGTGGGAAACCTAATTACGCTATTCCTTACATATTCTTCCCAAACTTAAACAATTAAAGTTCAAATTTTCCTGTTTTTATATTCACAAAGTCATAAAATCTTGCGCCTATCTCACATACATTCTAGCCTTTGCAAAAAGAAAAATTTTTCCTAGGAAGCACTTCCGCGTTCTGCATGGGTATGATGTTTCCTGAAATGTAGCGCTCATGAAATCTGTAACGCCGAAAAAAATCTTTTTTAATTCGTAAAAAGTAACGCAAAAGTGCCGTGCGTTGGCTTTATTCGTAACGGTATAGAAAACGACATTTGTTTTGAAATAGCGCAAATCCATAAAGCGTTCCTTTTATTTGCAAGCAACGAGTAACGTATTTCGTTACTTTAAATAATGGGAAGAATCGTCTTTTCTGTCCTCGAGTTTTGTGCTCTTCCCATCATTTATAATATCCTTACCAGCACGCTCTCCGTTTCGAGTATTTTGTTACACTTTCCAGTAATGGCTGTGGCGGTATTACCGACAAATTTGGTGCTCTTGACGCGCTGTCAAGCGCAGATAGGCGGAGTAGGATTAATTCTTCCTGAAAAGTATTTGATTCTACTTAAAACTCACTCTGGCCAAGACTGGCGTACACCTTCGCCCAGACGTCCCTATGTTCCGCCGTCAGAATGCCCACGCCAACGTCCTTCTCGGGTGACATCTCCACGACTCGAATGAGCTGGGTGAGGATCCTGCTTTCGTCGTGGGGCACTCCTTGGGCATCGTACACGTTGAAGGTGAACATCTGCGTGGCACAAAACTCGCACTCAGCTTCCAGACTCAAAGGACAAGGTGAAATTACCCGTTTGCAATGATTTGTACGGACTTAAGAAATTGAAAATCGTTTTATCGACCCGCATATATAAATTATGCATCTCAGAAGGCCGAACATGGATGTGACTGCAAAGCTGACGAATAGTGATGGCCTGCAAAGGTTTCAGAACATCGCTTTCATTGAATAAACAATATTTCTTTTTCCCCTGAAGTCAAAATACACTCTGAGAAAAAGATGGTTTCTAGGGACTAACGGCATCATTTGGTTCTCTGAACTCCCAGACCATCTGGTTTGAGTTAGAGTCTACTTCGAGCAAGGTTCTGTGTGCAAAAGCTGTGAACTAGCTGCACTCGACAGAGAATAACCGAGAGGTGAGCATGCAGAAGCAGAGCCATTAGTCCTCCCACGAAAGCATGCATCCGTATGTTTCAGTCCCCGAAGGCAAACTGAACGCTTGCCAGAAAAACTGCCAATATTCAGGCTGTCTTGAAGATCGGCGCGACTCAGCCAAGCACACCTGTAAATGTTACCCCAATTCGGACAAAACTGTCGAGTTTTTGTATGTAACAACGATCGTTCAGACATTACGTGGTACATCAACCTTCGCGCGGTGTGTGAATACCAGTTAACTTTTGTGTTAACTCACATTCACCCAACTTTCTGGTCAATAATCATGTGTTGATATTTCGCAAGTCCCATTGATGTATTCTGCCCTCGCGCAAAGATGAGTATTTATTTAAACGTAATATCTATGATTACTAACACTTATGGTTTCCTAACAAAACAACTTTAGGAGTCGTTAGAAGAGGCGCGTCGAGCACAAGAGCGTCGCAGTCACGGTAAATTGTCACCTCTATCGCTAAAATTGAGTTACTGAAAACAACTGGAGACTCGTATCTGCGTTTGAGAAGTTCTTTTACTTTACTTAACGTTAAAATCAGAAGTTTGCGAAAGCACTGGGATGAGTTCAGATTAGCTGTAGATTGCGTACTTCCGATCGCGGATGTGTTTGTTCGCACAAAAATTAATATTCACAATGACGAGGTGGACACGTTTTCGCTACCTAGATTTAACAGCTTTTTTTTATACTGAGGACAAAAAGCGCGAAGGCGGTATAGCAATTTTCTTAAAAGCCACTGCCTCTTATTCAGAGATAACAATTTCTTTGTTTCTTTCTTGTGAATCACTGGCACTTCGTTTCATTACTTATGGTTATGACTCTTACTTTTTTGCTTTTTTTAGACCACATTCGCAAAGTGTTCCTGGTTTTCTTTCTGAGCTACGCAACTGTATTCAATCTTTGCCGGGTATTGCAACCCTCTGCATCACAGGTGACATAAACATTGACCTTCTAAATCCCTCTAAATTATTCGTTTGCAAGTACCTTACCTTATTGGCTGACTACGGAATCGAGATCTACGTTCTCGCACCAGCATGAGAAGAATTTCTAAATTATAGAATCGTAAGCTCATTGATAGATCATATTAACTTCAGTACATCATCGTCGGCAATTAAATCGGCAATTATAAAACAAAAAATTATCACATCACTATTCTTATACCATGCCAAATCAAATTTCTGAAACAGGTTTCTCCTGTGAGAGATACAAATATACGTCGAATCGAAATTGTTGACAATAGGATGTTTGATAAATATGTCTTCGGTTACGACTGGGTTACATTTCAGCGATGTGTATGCCATTCCAAAATCTATGATTCGTTTGCTCAGTTGTTTCGGCAGTTTCATAATGCATAAAAAAGTAATATTTCTGAAACAAAGAAAGGCAAACATACGTTGGATAACCACCGACATATTATCTGCCATTAAACTTAAAGAAGCAGCCTGGAAGCGCTGCCGTCGTTCACCTCATAATCAAGGCCTTCAGAAAGAATCTCAAATTATCCGTAACAAAGTTGCTGCGCTTATTCTCTCGGCTAAACGAATTTGCTCCCACAAACAGTTCTCGGAATCTCAGAATATCTCCGATAAAACTTGGTCATTGATTAACGAATTGCGAAGGTCTCTTGCCGGGCATACAAAGAAAAAAAAAACACCACAAACAGTTCTCGGAATCTCAGAATATCTCCGCTAAAACTTGGTCATTGATTAACGAATTGCGAAGGTCTCTCGCCGGGCATACAAAGAAAAAAAAAAACACCTTCAAGATGTATTTCGGCATAATGCCCGCATAACTGCTAATCTTTTTAATGATTTCCTGTCAACTATTCTAAAACACTCCTTAGAAGCCCCATATTCCTTTCCTTTTCTTACTCAAGCTTTGCCTCCGCTTTCTTACAATTTATATTGTTTAGCTTGAAACCGAGTAAATCTCCAGGGGTCGATCGCGTACGGCTCAGTGATCTAGGCAGGATTTAAATTGTGTTCGCGCACACTTCTTCTGTTGATGAATAGTATAATCGAATCTGGTTGCATACCTGATGAACTAAAAATCGCGGTTGATACACCTATCTTGAAAAAGGAGTTGTCGTAGTAAGGCTGAGAACTATCGGCCTATTTTCATTTTGCCATGTCAAGCTAAAATATCAGAGAAATTAATTTTTATCATCATGTCTTCGTTTGTAGACAAATACAACTTAATGTCTCCAAATCAGTATGGCGTCATTGCCCGCCGAGGCACACATCCTCTCCTGGACGCTCTTTCAGACAACATCAATTATGGCTTTGATTACAACTTATATAGTTGTGCATGCCCTCTTCACGTATCAAAATCATTTCATACAGCTAGTCACTATATTTTGCTCAACAAACTTTCAGCCATAGGTTTCCGATGTCCTTTCTGGTTGCCATTAAAGAGTTCCTTATCTGAGCGCTCACAAATAGTTTCGGTAAACGGTGCGCATAGATTTAAAGTTTTTTTTTTTTTAAATCTGGTGTTCCACAGGGATCTGTCATTTCATCACTATTGTCCAATATCTATGTCAATTATATGTGTACTACAGTTTCCGACTGTATTCTGTACCAGTACGCTGATGACACTCTGCTACTGAAAGCGATACCTCTCCTATTCAAAATCAATAGAGATGCTCCAACGTTCTTCAAATCAACTAATGAAATGGTTTAATCGTAATCTAACTGGTATAAATATTTCTAAAACAAAGCTCGTCTGCTTTCACAACCCTATAAAAGTTGTTTCTTTAAATATTTTTTTTGCACAAAGCAGAATGTATCATGTGTCACTGTGATAAAATTCCTTATTCAGACACTGCGAAATACCATGGAATACTTTTAGATTCGGACCTATCACGAAACTCTCATCTCACAAAAATCTTTTCAAAACTAAGGAGTGTTTCCTGCTTACTTTATCATATCAAAACATTTATGCCTTTTGGTGTTCGCACGCGTATTGCCTATTCTTTAGCTTACAGCAACTTACGCTATGGTATAAACTATTTTTGGCCAATGCTCGAGCTTATGGCAGACAAAGGTGAATAGCATCTTGAAAGGAATTCTAAGAAATGTAGGCTATAAGCTTACGTCCTCTAACTAAATTTTTTTCCAAATGCTCTTAATGCCCGATTTTCAATCTTTGTTCTTGGAAACAGGGGTTCTCAATCAGAACTGGAATGATGAACTGAAATCTCTTCGCCCGGTCTCACGGCAGTTGCGCATGGTTTCACGATACCTCGTTCAGAGTTGCTACACTCGGTATGGTAAGAACATGCGATCATTTTATGTTCCACTTATATTTAATTTTTTACTAATTCATTTTTCAGACATTACATCCTAAAAGAAGCATAAAAAAGCTCTACGCCATGTCTACTGGAATGGCGAAGATACATAAATATTTTGTTTTAATCAGAGCAAAAAAGGGGCGGGGGGGGGGGGGGGTAGTTCCATTCTCGGTTGAAAAATGTTTGTTTTCTGAGCCATTTTATTATAACTGTCGACGCCAATCGTTGTATTGTCACTAGCTTTTTTTTATTTCTGCATTGTCATTCCCGCGCATGCTGCCTCCGTTTATTCCGTTCGCCGACACAACAGATAGTCGGTACCCCGTCGTTCCTCCTCCCCCCTTTGCCATCACCCTTTCAGTATCCTCCTCCCACTCAGAAAATTATATATTGCGAACGCAACCAAATAAAGACGTTGATACGCTGCCACCAGCTGCTCTTCTGGTTTATTCACGCCGCACGCGGTGGCTTATGCGACACAGCAGTGGCGACGAGTCCGGACCTCACCCAAGCGGACAAGAAAGTCCCGGAGGCAGCCATACAGCTCAGCAGCGTGCCGAGGACAGCTATGGCCCACCAGAAGCTACCTGAATTCGACGAAGACAAAGATAAGTGGAAACCTTATCTCATTAAGGTCGAAGCCTACTTTGAGGCTGACACCGTCACAGACTCTGCTAAAAAAAGAGCGCTGCTAGTGGCGGCACTGAGCATGAAGACTGTAGAAGTACAAGCAGAAAGAGTAGCCTTCCGCACGCCTAATTCTCTGACTTATGAACAATGTACAAGGCCTGAATGAGTACTACAACCCCAAGGGCACCAAATAACGGAAAGTTACAAGTTCTTCAACCGTTCTCGAATAGAAGGCGAAATCTGTCCAAGCGTTTCTGGTTGAAATACGCCGGATAGCAGACAATTGCAACGTTGGCAGCATGTTGGACCGCATGCTCAGGGACAGAATCGTTTGCGGCGTGCGCTCAAGTACCTTACAAAAGCAGCTGCTTGCAAAAAAGAGAACTAACACTAGAGGAAGCCGAAGCATTAGCGGTTTCGGTGGAAACAGCCAAAAACGACTAAAAAAAGTGTCTGTAGCCAGCGGCACTACTGCTAGAGCAAGCGCGTCATCATTCTTCAGCGCAAGATAACATGAAGCGCGATGCCCCGCGAGAGTGCGGAAGGTGCGGAAGCACAAAGCATGATGACAACGGCTGTGGCTGGGCCAAGTCTCGTCGCTACCGTTATAGACGGCATGGTCACTTGGCGAAGGAATGCCGGAACGCT